GCGTAAACGTCTATCGTTTTAAACTATTTACTAAAACAAATGAAGTATCTTGCCAAAACATGGCGTTTTTAATATGTTTTTGGTTTCACAATGTACCTACTTACCCTTCACCGCTGGTCTCACCACCCGAGTGTGTCGGTCACTGTCGGTTTATTTCTTTAGTACCGAGAGCGAAGTTGCAGTGTGTGATGAATTTTAGATCTCAAATACTACGACGTACAGTGGTGCTACATGTAAACAGTTTACATTGCTTGCGTAGTACTAAAGATTAATCGAACGTTGAGTACTGATACCGCAGTGGATAATGAGCACATATTTTTATTTCTTTGTGTGTGTGAATTATGTAATGTAATGCGACACTGAGTTTCGAACTCAGCGCATTAGTTGGCATCTCTCTATATCTCTATGGGTGTAATTAATCTCATGTTGCACCTTGCAGGGTTCGTGTTATGGGTAGGTAGGTATGTCTAGTAACTTAAAGAACCTTTATACCAATAACATTAAATATTTAAAAAACATGAATTTGAATGTGCGCACTTTCTAATGTGTATTATGTTCATAAGATGTTTATACTGAACTGCCCGACTAAACTATCAGCCGACGCAAACTCTGTAGTGGGGGAATTAAGTAGCCCATAGGTAGGTAGGTCGTAGTCGGGTTAATCGTACAGACAGAAGGTAGGTACAGTACAATTCAGTACATCATCTTACGACATTCTAATAGGTGCTACTTTTCATAAAAATTATAGGGATTGCGGTAAATAATAAACAAGTTTTTTGTATTCTTATTTTAATACTTAAATAGACACATACTTACAAGCTACTTAACTAATCACATATAGTACCTACTAAATGTAATAGTTACAAAGGAATGTAACACATATGTGTTACATTGTACAATACAACCTAAATAGGTTAAGTATCAGTTTTTAGGGTTCCGTAGGCCTGACAAGAAATCCTTATAGTTACGTCATGTCCGTCTGTCTGTCTGTCCATCCGTTTTGCTTGGAAACTATTGGCACTAGAGAGTTGTAATTTTGTGGAGGTATGTTTAGCTTAAGAGTAATAGTCGTTTAACTTATGTACCTATTATAAAATTTCTTACCTAATAAAAATTCCTTAGAAGATAATACCAAAAGTGACTTTAGATCACAGATAATATAATACTAGTACTTTAGATGAAGTAATTGCTTGCTTCTGAAATACATATATTGTGTTAACGACGGACAACTACGGAACCCTACACTGCGCATGCCCGACACGCACTTGACAATATTTTTAGTCTTAGTGATTAGACAAAATACCTACTTAAATATTATATCTAAGAGCCAAAGCTCACGATACGTTACGGCGGCGCGGTGCGACGCCGGGGCGGTGTCATTGCGTCATTGTACATAGAAATATTTGTGATGGGCGCACACGAGCCACCGCTCGGCGCCGCGGGATTTGGCGAAACCTTTGCGCTGCGGCGCCGCGCCGCATCGTGTGCTTTGGCTCTAACGCCCGTTTAGGGTAGAAGAAGAAAACTAGAGAAAATAATATTAAAAAAAAGACATTCACCTAAAAAAACGAAATATATTGGAGAGTCCGGTAATTTGGACGAGTTTTTTTCAATCCTATTTTACACATAGTTTTTATTTGTTTTTGCTAATGTCTAATTATAATAAAAGATAAATTATTCAACTTACTATTTCATGGGTATTAATCAACATGATTGTTACATATTTAGCACAAATCAATAAAATACGAATTCAGAGCTTTGGTCCAATTTATCCAACCGGATTTCAATAAATTTCAAGCCTATAAAAACTATGGCAAAATATTATAATATTTTATACATTTTACACATGTTCGATACATTCATAACAAATTAGGTAACGAAAAGGAACAGTAGTTAATTACATAGAATCGATATTGTTTTACACATTATGAAGATTTTGAGTTCAAGTTTCGTGATTCCAATTATTGCAATGCACACTTGTTCCTAATCTCTTTTGCCAGTCTTTTGCTGTCATTTATTGTTATGTAAAACATAATAATGCTATTATAACTTCAAAATATGATTTACTAAATTATATTAATTAATTATAAATTAGAAACATTAAATTTAACAAAATTACAAATTAAACATGCATTGTCATAATGAAAACAATTTAAAAAAATCTTTTCAAATAAAACACACGTGTTCAATGTCACGGCAAAAACCATTGCTGAGTGTTGCAATTACAGACATTCAATAAATACTGTATGAAATATAAGGGTGGTACATTAACCCGGCGGTACAATATACCGAACTCTCCCCTACAATCTTCAGGTCACTATGATTAAATTAGATTTATCTAACTTATTTTATTATTTTGTTTATTATTAATTTTAACGAATAGTACATCAACTATTCCTGTAATTTTTATTAATTTATATGTACATTTAGTTTATCACAACAAGTATTAATTCGTTCGCTTCAAGGTGATGGATCTGCGCTACCCGCTTCCACATCGCACTTACATTAAGAAGCTCGTATTTAATAAAATGCACAATTTAATTTTCCAATTTTATTACATTTTTGGCCCCTCTTGAGCCCTTCTAGTCAGTTGGGTCACTGGTCATCTTGACCAATGACTCGAAAGTACATCAAAAACCTTCTTGAATATGAATATTTTATATGTTTCTTATAAGCGACACGGATAACAGTATTCTTATATTATTAAATTTATATAATATAGATGATTCCAGCCAGATTTAATGACGCGTGACCTGGAATCTACTGGGATAGCAGAAAACTGTTCATATACATAATTTCCATGGTTTTTATAATAAATATGGATCATTAATAGTATGGGTCAGCTGTCATTGCTCTAATCTAACTGGAATGAAGATTAGAAGAAGAAGTAAATTAGGGGCACATACCACGGAAGAAACAGTTGAAAACAGTAGCGTCATTGCCGCCTAAGGGACACTTAAGAATACGACGGTAGAGCAGGGAGTTTACTACTATTTGAAACTCGTAACTTATACCCTACACACGAAAAGCAGAGAGATTTCAGGAAAGCTCATAAGTACAAACTGGTCTGTCCTGAAATTGTAAGTGACATTATCTACTGAATTTCTGGATGGAACCGAGATACAAAGAAAATTCATGATTTATAGCATAGAAGAGCAATGTATAAAAGGCCGCCACCAGCAAATAGAACCATTTGATGTACTGTTAGTGTATGGTGTGTATGTGTTGAATTCTTAAAGTGCCAAGAAGCAACTTCAAGACTACTTACACTTACTTCGACGTCAAGAAGAAGAAAAATATATTGATCACGTCAAAATTGGGAACTTCTTCCGAGTGGAATAATAAGAGCAGAAAAATTGGTCTCCATCCAATGGTAAGTAAATTACTTGACAGTCGAATTCTACAATTGTCAAATACTTGGCTAAGGGAGGTAAATTCCGCATAACCACACACTTCAATATTAATGTCATTCCTTTCTACGGTAATGAGTCATTACCTAAATCTAAATCTCCCAACATAATAGCATTTATTCCAACCACCAAAGTGAAGTGAGTCCATTTTAAAATAATGTTTTATTAGACTTTGTTTGTTTTCTATGTTCTTCTCCTTTACACGCTTTTCTGATTACTTATCATCTGAGAGTTAATGAATGCAATTAATAACTACGAGTAGTTACTATTAATGAAGGTATTTTATCTTATTACTACATTATTTTAATATTTTGGCTCAGCATCATCCCTTTCCTTTATGCCTCTTATATTATAAGGGTGGAAAAGTTATTTGACATCATAGGATTGTATTACAAGTTTATATAACTTTCTTTCAGGTCTGGGGGGTCTTCGGTGGCAAACAGCACTGCATTGCACTTGCAGCAGCGTGCGAACGCAAGTTTCTTCCTAATATCTAGGCAGACACTCGTTCGTTTTCTCCTCAATGTCTTTGGACATTTCCGATTCTTTGATCAAACGATTGCTTTGTTTTGCTTGTGTAAATACAGGTCTTGTCATAACAGTCTAGACTTCGAATTCAGATCTTTTGAATTTCAGTATTATGAAGTAAGTCCGGTGTTTGATGACGGAGTTTTTTTTTATCATCCTTTTGGTCTACGGGAGGTGTTTATATCCCTCCTAACCCCGAGCAGCTGCCAGGCGCTAGCGAATTCTCTCCAATTCGCCATCACCTTGGTGACACACTTTCTAGGCCCCAATGCATCTTCTAGAGCTACCGCCATATCGTTCGTGATCATGATCGCTCGAACGAATTAATTATGATTATGAAAATATTGTTGTAGTGGACAGTCGCTCGGGCGGCCAAAAGTAACGAAATACCTTTAAACTTTTTACAGGTTTATTTTTACCAAAAATGCTCAGACGGATATCAAAACATACACTTCAAAAATAAAAAAAAAAGGTATCAAAAGGAATAAAAAAAGTACAAAAACAAAGACAAAATATCAAAAAAGGTTGGTCTACCTGTCGTTTCCCAACAATTGTTATATGCCCTACAACCTATTTAGTTAATGATAATTTACACTTTTATTTTTCACGAAACTATTTACATTAGTTGGACGAGCAGCCATTTGCCACTAGGGAATCATTGTTCATCCCATCGTCATAATATTACACTTTCACTGTTAAGCAATTGGGTTACTTGAAATATATTTTCAACATCGCTATCGTTTTCTTGAACTTTGCGTTTTGTTGAATTCAATATTTGGTACAGATCGGCATTTGAGACAGGGTGCATTATCCTTATCAAATCAAATCAAATAATTTATTGTGCATACATTTGATAGGGATTCAGGCACTGTCTTTGCTAGCAACTGTATCGCCGGTGCCAGAATTAAACCCTTACAGTATGCTACATACACTACTGTAAGGCACTAATTTCCAATTTAATTGTTTACTTTGTCTTCTTTTGCTGAAAGCTTATCAGACATCACATTTTTTAAAAACTTTAAAAAGGACGTTATATAACCCTTACAATGTTGCTTTCTTAGTTATTATGTACACTTTATTATACAGTATTGACATTTTAAGAAACTTCAGCGGTGCAGGAGGTTTCTTACCTGTGGTGGACTAAGCCCGAGGGAGTATATAATAATATTTTTTATAATCCACCCTTGGCAGTTTTCGGAGGCGCATCCGCGGTGGCTCCTCACTGATGTCGGTCTCGGGCGGGTTACGAGAAATTAGTTTCGATCGGGATCGTTTCGGTTGCCTACGGTCAAAGAAAAAGACTACTTATTACAAAATCCACACCCCTGTTTTGATCGGAAGGAATTCTTCCTTGCTGATTATGAAACAATATACAGGGTGTGTCGTAAATAATGGTCCAATACACTGCACACTGAGGCACCACATACCAGTATTTAAAAAAAATTCAAGGGAGTTCAAAAAGTTTTTATTTTTTTATAAATTGGTACCTTGTGTTACAAATTTGGTTATAATTTCAAAAATTTATGGTATTTTTTATGCAATTTTTTTTGTAGTATTACTGATTACATGAATTGTATTCCAATTTTTATTTTACAAACTGAATTATAATAAAAAATATAGTTTGTTTCGAAATTCAATTCTTACTACTAGCAAATCGTTTGACTTTACATGCTTATGGTGTAAAAAAATTGAATATATTTCTGAACCTTCTTGACACATATTTTTTTAAATACTGGTTCTATTAGAACATAACATTGTAAAGCTCGAATTTTTAATAACATCAATAAAAAGTAAAAAAAAAAATACGTCAATGGAATGCTGGTTTTGGCACTTGAGATTTTGGAAAATATCAAAATTAAATTTTCATTTGTTTTGTATGTTTTATCTTTCTACTTATATCTATACTAATTGACCCGGAAAAAGGCACTCATCAAAAAAACCTCAAAAAAGATTTGATATTTGGCAAATTATGATGATACTCATCTAATATTTTTAGGGATTAACAAGAGAAAAATCACAGTGCAAAGGTGTTTCAAGCGTGATAATTATTATGTTAATGATATTATTATGTGATAAGTCTAAAAATACTTTTTTTTTTTTAAATTATGATATCATTTGATTAGTAAAACTGATATTACTGTATTAAAAATTCTAAAATTAAGTTTTTAATCAGCTCAATTTTTCCAAAATTAAAAGTTAGGTTTATAAATTCAAAAAATGCATGCATCTTTTAATTTGGACCCCTTTGTAGTGAGGAAGAGAACAATTCTCCCGTTCGCATCCGTTTTAGTCGCGCTCCCCCACTCTCATTTTGTCTTTTCCTCACAATTGCGCTCATCCCTGGAATAGGATCAGAACTATCAGAAGGTGCTGAGCCACTTGGAATAGGTTCGGCTTCCGAGGCCTCTGAGTAAATTGGCTGTTCCGATTGGCTGTTATTTTCCTCACTTTGAAACTCGTTTGCTACTTCAGGGCAAGGTAATTCTTCATCCGGTATGTGATTTTGAGTAAAAGCCATTAATTCAGTAATCTGGAAACGCATTTCGGTAATAATACAATGTAATAAAACTTCTCTAGGAGTAGGAAGCCTTCGGAGGTGTTGGCGTGATTCCTCCGTGTCTGATTCAGTTGTATCTCGTGATGTGGACTGATCGTATTCTGTATTTTCTATTCCTAAGGGGTTAACTAAGAGAGAGGGCTTTGCGAAGTCACTCACTTCCTTGGATATTTTACTCATATTGATCAAAGTCTTTAGAGCGCTGGTAATGGTCAAACACAATTGTTTATAGCTACGAGAGAGCGATTGGTTGTCATAAAAATACTTAGGTAAATCTGGCGTCTGTGTTTCTTGTGTGGTGTATTCTTTCATGTGAATTGAACATACGCACTTTTTATTTGTTGATGGTTTTGGTAATGCTGCTGATGGTTGCGGCGATGGTTGTGATGACAACGGCTCTGTTTGTGGTGGCGGGTTTGGAGGGAGTGGTGGTTGTGGTGTTTGTGGTGGTGGTGGTGGTGGTGGTGGAAGTAGTGCTTGTTGTTCATACTGACGATCAACCTGATAATTTTGTAAATACTGATACTGAATCCACGGATCAATGTATTGATGTGAGTAATGATAGTAATCTGCCGGATAGGGCGGATAAGGTGGGTAAAGAGGAAGCATTTCTGGATCTGGGCTAGGGGGGGCTCCTCGAAAAGACATCTCTGTATTCATTGTTGGCCATTGTGAACTTGTAGATGACGGCGTTTCCCTTTCCTGCTTTGTTGATTGTGAAACCTGAAATCCGAAAACATAGTTATTTATCTCTTCGGTACAAAAAAATATATATGTTCTTTTTTCATGGGTTCATATCCTAACATGTCATGTTTGAGAACCTACCTTATCTATATATGAATCCCAAGCTGCCAACCACCCTTGCGATAGTTGCTGTTCCGTTGATAATTGGTGCGATGAACTCTGAGAAAGGAAGATCAGTGATTTTGGTTAAAATGCCAGCTGTAATTTGGCAGGCAATGACTATGTATTATAATGCAATTGAATCCCTATTAAAGAGACTGAACTTTCAGTTATTTTTTCTTATTATAATAACGCAATTGTACTGTACGATTTTATTATTTTATTACTTTCGTATATTAGGAGAGTAATACTAGAAAGAATTAACCATGCATACCTACATATTGATTTTATTTATAATTACCTTTTGTAATAAGGATGAGGGTGACTGCGCCTGACGTTTCGAAGACGACTGTGTCTTGCCTGCCCTCGACGATGCCGAGGATTCCATCTTCGGCTCCACTTTTATCTTCGCCTTCGAGCGCGATCTCGATAGAGAGCGCGTTTGAGTTGGAGATCCAGGTGGCTTGGATGCCTTATGCCTCTTTGAGCGGGAGTCACTACGTGAATCAGGATATTGAGCCCGTGATGGGGGCTCTGGAGACGCCGGCGTCTGCTCAGCCGGTGCCGGTTTATATGAGCACTTAGAATGCGCACATAAGGCGAGAAGGGGACTGTGGAGATGCTGGCGACTGTGGAGACAGTACTTCTGACGTAACAGTTTCCCTTCTTGAGTGGGTCTTTTTATTTGAGGACCTAGAATGCGCACATAAGCGAGTAGAGGACTGTGGAGATGCTGGCGACTGCGGAGACAGTACTTCTGACGTAACTGTTTCCCTTTTTGAGTGGGTCTTTTTATTTGAGGACCTAGAATGCGCACATAAGCGAGTAGCGGACTGTGGAGATGCTGGTGACTGCCGGGACAGTACTTCCGTAGAAGTAGAATGCGCATATGAGCGAGAAGGGGACTGTTGAGATGCTGGCGACTGCGGAGACAGTACTTCTGACGTAACAGTTTCCCTTTTTGAGTGGGTCTTTTTATTTGAGGACCTAGAATGCGCACCCCGTAGTCTCCATCCATAGCCCAGTAACCAGTCCATCCATCCTTCATCCATAACCCTAGTCCATTCTCCAATAACTGCAATAGCTCCTGTGCACAGGCTGGGGATGGTCTCTGGCTACATCCCATGATATAGTCAGAGACTAGATCCAGCATGTGCACCACTTTCACTTTTGTCGATTATTTTGCGCTTAAAACGGCCTCTACGTGTTGGATCTGTATCCCCACGCAAGCCTTATAAAGGACCGGGCCACTTTTGACCCGTGAGCTCCAAAGCGTACAAACATAATAATAATAATAATAATAATTTATTATATACTCCTGTTTACAATAATCTCTTAATCTAAGTACATAATGGAGCTTGAACAACATTATTATTACACAAAGAGGTTAGCGTTGACAGCTGTACTAGTATACACTGTGTCACAGCTGCCAGCGTCTTCCACCCTAGGTTTATAACTATTTCAGTGGGTCTAGACAAAGTGCAAATTATAATCGCAAACCAGTCGAAAAGTGGTCGAAAAGCCCCTTCTTTGTATGGAGTTTTGACGGATTCGATTTTCGATTCGATCAAAAAGTGCGTTTTGTCTAGGGGGGCAGATGTTGTTACATTATGATAATTATAATTTTGAAGTTAAAGTTGATTAATTATAAAGGCCTATTACATGAGAATAAAAACAAGTAAAAGCGAACTTTGAGTGAATAAGTGTGTGTGTATTTAGTGTGTGTGTGTATGTGTGTGTGTGTGCGTGTGCGAGTGTGTGTATGTGTGTGTGTGTGTAAGGAGTATGGATTGTGCGTCGAACACAGGGGGACTCGGCCACGGACCCGAAAATTCTTCAAAAATTTTAATAGAATCTACATACGCTGATATTACGCTTGTGTATTATTTAGAGTTCGATCGACTCTCTTGTTCAGGAAATCAATTCCCAGGTTAAATATTCAATGGTTTATTTATTGTTCACAGTTTGTTTACAACATCACAGACCTAAATAAACTTAAGTGTGGAGCTGAGTGAACTCAGAAGTACTAGGTTCGATTCCCAGGTGGAAAAAACGTAGTAACGCTACACTTTTAGGACTTTGTATACGTGAGTCTCTCATACATATTGTTCATAAAATCTGCATACTTACTTGCATAATTATACTTTTACGCTCAAAGACCGAAAAAGCGCATTGAACGAAAAAGCTAACAACGTGTTTTTGTTAAACGCAACTAAAAATTTAATAAATTGTGATTTACCAATTTGTCTGTTTAAACTGGTAGGTATATCTATTTTTTAATTTTGTAAATCTGCCGCCCCCTATAATTTTCCGCCCTAGGCTTCAGCCTACTCAGCCTGCTGGGAAATCCGCCACTCTAAAGCCACATAATGAAAACGGCCATGACCATGACGCGTTGTGCCACAGAATAATCATAAGTGTTGTGCCAATGAAGATAATCCAAATGCTACCACTGATGGAACTAAAATTTTATACAGGGTGTTTGGCGGAAGGTTAGACAAACTTCATGGGTGTATAGGTAAGGTCATTTTAAGAATACAAGTTCGCCCATTTGACCCTAAGTGAACTACTTTTTTTTTAATTGATATTTTTGTTTTTATTTATTTTTTTCCAAAATTTGACCTAAAAACTGCTACAATTTTTTTTCTCGCGTACACCCACGAAGTTTGTCTAACCTTCCGCCAAAAATCCTGTATAACTAAGTATTAAACTTAAAAAAAACTCTGTTAAAACAGTATTAGGTAATACCAAAACCTGTAACTGGCAAAATGTTACTTAGGCGTGAACTATGGAGCGTTAGAATGACTATTATAATGCAATGCTCTGCTACTAGTCACTAGTGTAACAAGATCAAACTTAACTGGTTTTTAACCTGTTAAGTAAAGAATGCAATTGATTCATCAGAACTAAGTCAATGAAGAATGTTCATTGTTAAAAACCACAAATATAATTTGAAAAAACAGTACAGCCGATAAAATATCGATTTTTAATTGTCACATACTTAATATGTGATCTGATAAGTATTTTAATTACCATTTTTAGATGACAATATTAAGTTGACTGATAACAATTTACTATATAACTTTCGTGAAGTGAAGGATAGACATCAGTACAAGTCTACAGTTCCTTCGAAGATAAGTGTCTCCTAAAAAATAGTGAACATGTTATGGACAAATTTTATTTTGGTATTACTACTACCACTGCTGTCAAGAAATGGTAAGGGACGATGTCCGCGCCACTAGCTATTCTATTGTTAATTCTGATTGTTATTTATCAGCCACCAATGTATTGTTATCTTCAATTTATAGTGCATGCTGCGGAATCTTACTTTGGGTATAGCAGGAACTGGGACCTACAGCCTAACTCAGCGCCTACTGAAATAGTCTTAGAGGAGCAACCGACTGCGACTGAGAAAGTTGAGATACCAGTCACCATAGAAACAGCTCCTACTTACTACGAAGAACCAATTGCGACGGAGAAAGTTGAGATACCAGTCGCCGTAGAAACAGAACCTGAACAATATTACTACGAAGAACCTGTTGCGACACCTGCAGTAGCAGTACAACCAGCTGCAACACAAGAAAAAATTCAGCTACCAATAGTTATATCTTTGTACACCAATAATGTGCCTTCTGCTCAAACTACCACCGTTTCTGCTCAGCCAAACTTATCACAAAGACGCGTTTTGATGCCTACCAGAGCGCCTGCTCCCAAGCCTGTTTATATAGAAGAAAAACGACCTGCAGCTACATTGGTTGAGCCAGTTAGTACTGTCGCAGTAAAGACGCTAGCCCCAGAACCGCGGAGGGTGCCAAGACCAGTCATTACACGGCCAACTACACCTGCTCGCACTGTATTGGTGACTCAACCCGAACCAAAGCCACAACCTGTCGTTTTGGCTCCACAACCTGTATCTCGTCCCTTGGTAGTGGCTCAACCTACGGCCCCAGCTAGAGTAATCGAGCCAAAGCCAAAATCTGTTGTTTTAGCTCCACGACCTGTACCCCGTACTTTAGCAGTCACTCGAGCTCCAACTCCAATTAAAGTAGCCGAGCCACAGCCAAAACCAATTGTTCTAGCTCCCAGACCTACAACTCGTCCCGTGGTAGTGGCTCAACCTACGGCCCCAGCTAGAGTAATCGAGCCAAAGCCACAACCTGTTGTTTTAGCTCCACGACCTACACCCCGTGCCTTAGCAGTGACTCAACCTCCAATTACAATTGAAGTTGCCGAGCCACAGCCAGAACCAATTGTTGTAGCTCCACAACCTGTATCTCGTCCCTTGGTAGTGGCCCAACCTACGGTCCCAGCTATAGTAGCCGAGCCAAAGCCACAACCTGTCGTCTTAGCTCCAAGAGCTACACCTCGTGCCATAGCCGTGACTCAAACCCCGATCCCAACTAGAGTAATCGAACAAAAGCCAAGACCAGTTGTTTTAACTCCAAGACCTGCACCTCGTCCCATCGTCGTGACTGAATCTCCTGTCACAGTTATAGCTGAACCGAAGCCACGTTACGTGTCACCACCTGTGTATGACACAACGGAGCCAAGACAGTTATTAGACTACCAATGTGCAAGCGCTAATGGCTACTACGGCATTGCAGGAGATTGTGACAACTATGTGGAGTGCAGGGTAAGAAAATACTACTAAGGCTGGGTTGCACCATCTTACTGCAACTGTAATAAACGTCAAAAATCTGTCAAAACTTCATACAAAATACACCGGTTATCGTTATAGTTACCGTCAAAGTTATAGGTGGTGCAACTCAGCCTAAGACTTTCAAGTAAAAAAAAGTGAATTAAACCTTCATTAAACAAAGAACCTACGGCTATTCATGGCTGGGGTTCCATATATTTTCTTGAGGCAATTTTGATTAAGCAGCCGAATTTTATTTGCAGAAATACATAGCAGTAATGAACACTTGCCCCAGTGGTCTTCATTTCAACTCCGCAGCTACTTACCCGGACTACCCTTGCGGCTACCCTTCAGAAGTCGTATGCGAAAGCAACGCAGTTAGACGTAAGTACGAGTAATAAAATTATGTACCTAGTATATTCTAGGAACCTCTCTCTTCTAGAATTGACGAATTCTCGAGATAAAAAGATAGAGACAACAAATTTCGTTTTAGATTTTGATTCAGATTTGTTATGACGGAAATACTTACTCGCAATTACCTACCTAACTAGGTACTTAATGACTGACTTTGATTCCGATACCAATTTTTATAGACTACTTAAGTAATCATGTTTACGGTATATTTTCAAAATCTAAGTAGGTATTAGTTTGAATGCGTTTGATAACTTTGTTAACTTTATTATTTTGTATTTTTTACAGAAATAGCTCAACCAACTGAAGAATGCCCTGACCAATATGGAATGTACCCCACGTCTGATTGTAGCAAATATACAATGTGTCAAGCAGGAGTAGCGTACATTATGGACTGCCCAGCAGGTTTGGTGTTCAATGAGGCCACTAGCACCTGCGATTGGCCTGAGAACGTGCCAGGATGCAAGGCTGACTGTAAGTGACCAAATAGGCTTGATCCATGGGCTTAATAATTTAATACTTAAAAATGTCGAAATGATAAATCTGACCATCTGTCTAGTTCAACCTACCTACCACAATTTAAACACTTATTAAAATATTTTCAGTGTTGGCTGAATACACGTGTCCTGCACTAGCTCTGGAAGAAGATGGCAGCCCTTCAGACGAAATAACCAAATACAGGTAAGTAAATAATTGCAAACTTTTATGACTTGAATTGATTATTTCATATACAAGGCAGGTACTATTAGACTGCAATCACACCTGTTTGTTATTCAGCGAGATGCAGTCAGATGGATATGGTCATATTACTGCCTTGTCATAAATGTTTAAGTATTCATACTACTTTACTCATGCTAGCTCATGCCAGCGTTTCCGTTCCGTAGCTCAGTTCTTAAGTCCTATCTGAGATTACCCATTTTCACCATCACTCCCTAATTTTTAAGTGACCCCTATAGTAACACATAATATGAATTTTGTTTTCATAAGGGTCATTTAAAAATTAGGGATTGATGGTGAAAACGGGCATTAATGTTTCAAATTTTTAATTATGTTTCACCATGTTTGCAGGTACAAAGACAGCTGCAATGAGTACGTAGCGTGCCTGCATGGGCAGCCTCGCCTGCTCAAATGTGACGAAGGGCTGTCATTCCACCCTGAATCAGAGATGTGCGTAGATTCGGACTACGTAGCCAATTGCAGATCATATTAAGTGAAATAGACCGTCATAGATAGACCACCGAATACACCGACCATGTGAACCAGCTTGACGGACGTTAAAGATGCTACTTAGCTATTTTAATTGTGCATAATAAAATTAAGAATAGAAAAAATATTTTAAATAAACTTAATGCAAAGAGAATCTCCTCTTATTTCTATATTTTATATCCATCCCGTTCGCTTATTCTTACAACTTTGAGCTACCACAGGAGATAGACAGATGCCTTCTCCAAAGTGGTCTGCTCGATGCTTTCAAGCTAAAATTATTATTTATATCTACCTGCGCACTATTTATATAGTAAAAAGTGAGTAAAAATAACAAGCATTTTACCTACATTTATTTATTAATGGATCGCTTAATAAAAGAACAAAAAATATTGAAAATCTCAAAAACGACAAGTAAATTATTTTTTACTGGCAGCTTTTTCTGTTGCAGTATGTTCTCATTGGTAAAAAAATATTTGTTTAAACTTCTTACTTCATTGTCATTGGCCTCTTAAGAAAGATGTTAAAAAAAATAGAAAGCCCGACCAATCATAACATTTTATTGAATGACGTTTAAATTTTAGAAAGAACAAAGAAAACAAATCAACTTTTTCTGCGGAAGGAGCGCGGTTTTGGAGCAATTTTTAATTCAAATTTGAATTTTTACGTGTCTTTGAGGACAAGTGGTGTTATGTTATGTATTAATTAACGAAAGAGTTAATTGTCCAATGGAAGATAGTTTTACATGTTCCACGTGTACTACTCGATGACGAGGCAGACGGCGGCAGCGGGACATTCCGCTAGCGCAGCCCTGACGGACATCGCCCCAGTTGTTGTACCTTCGGATCGAAGATTGCGTAGTCGCGCAGTCGGCCGTAGCCTCCGAGCCCATTTTTATCAACTTGCATTCGCAAACTGGAGTTCGAAATTCAAACAATCTAGTCCACAGCGAAATTCCTGTCAACGAATTGGATTTCTAGTTATTATGAATGGTTCATTACTGTGATTTCTAAACAAAATGGAAGATTCCTATATAATTGCCAATTTCCATACGCTCTGCCGTCTATGTCTTAGCAAGAGCACGTTCACCGTTTCAATTTTCGGCGCTGCGCCTGATGATGAGGCAAATGTTGCTTTAACCTCCAAAATCGCGGAATGTTTTGAACTGCAGGTTGGTATTCCTCGTAAAATTTTACGTAAGGTGGAAACGATGTAGTTATGTCACTTGTACAAACTTGTTATTTCTTTGTCTACAGATGGACCCCAATGATGGATTACCTGGCAGAATATGCTACAAATGTTTGTTCAAGCTTGACAAATGTTGCAAGTTCAAACTGCAATGTATACAGAATGAGACCAGACTAAGGCAAATCACAACTAGAACTAATGAGTTAGATAATTCTAATTCATCTGAAGTAAGTGCATATAACTACACAAACTCACAAGATTCTACAAAACCAAAACCTGAGGATTACATTGTTGAAGACAGTGTTGTGATGGTGGTTGATCCGAGCCTTGACTATGATTCTTCAGAAGAATCTGAAGCACCGGAACCTGAGAATAATGAAGTGACAGAAAGGGACAATACACCAGAAGGAGAGCCAATGTCCGAGTCTTTCTTCAAAGCTGTATTTATGTGTGAGTATTGTGACCAGGCCTTTGTTTCACAAGAGAAATGTAAAGAACACGAGCAGAGCTATCACGACCCCAACCTCCCATATAAATGTGTGGAATGTAGTTTAGTTTTTGCTGAACGTAGTCAATATATTCAGCATACTAAACAAGTACATGGTAATGACAAACCTTATCACTGCCCAGAATGTGATAAATGTTTTGGGCGCCGCTCAGATTTAAGGAAGCATTCTATTGTCCACACTGGAATAAGGCCTTATCAATGTCAATACTGCTTAAAAAGCTTTTCACGTAATACCAATTTAAGCAAACACTTGCGAATTCATGCTGGCCACAAGCCCCATGTTTGCCCCTTGTGCCCTAGAAGCTTTGTTGCTAAAGGCGATCTACAACGGCATGTACTAGTGCATTCTGGTATGAAGCCCTTTGCGTGTCGAAAGTGTCCATTGACATTTGGAAGACGAGATAAGTTACTGAAACATGAAGTACGCCATGCACCTGCCAAACCTAGGCGCAAGAATGAATTTGAAAATGATCATGGAAATGACATGGTTGTTAATGTTAATCCTTTTAGCAACTTGATGACTTCACCCACCCTCAACCCTGATGGGTCTCATGCCGATTATGATTTACCAAGAGTTCCTGATCACATTTCTGGGGAAAGTAGTTTTGTGAATCAAGTAAAAAACCCATCAACATCTGGGAAACAAATTCAGAGTTCACCGCCCAAACCCAAGGCACTAGCCAATAAAAATAGGCCTAAAAACATAAAATGTCATCAATGTCCTAAGAGGTTTTCCTCATTAGATGCATACAAAACTCATGTTTCAATAGCTCATATTGGATCCAGAGTGTTTCAATGTAAGATATGCTTCAAAAAGTTCCCTCGAAAGAGAGAGCTCGATCGTCATGCAGCTTTACATACTGGAATGAAACCTTTCTCATGTAGTCAATGTGATAAAAAGTTTACTAGAAAAGATAAATTGGATAAACATGAACAAACACATGAATGTTTGGTTGTAAATATGCCATGTATTGAATGTGGAGCGACTTTTGAGAAGAAAGCAGACTTAGTTGCTCACATTAAATCTCATTTTACTGATAATTTTGACGATAAGAGTTCAGAGACTGAAATGAAGAAAGAAGATGAACCTGACTTCCAATTGGATGACAATTTTTATGACATTGGGACTTGAGACAGCAAGGCATTGAATGATTGTTAGTAATATTTTTAGTTTGTTCCTCCTAATGTACTTACAGGCTTAGTATAAAAAGATAATCTCTAATTATCTCATTATAGCTGTAGCTTAGTTAATTAATTCTTCATGGCCCATAAGAATATGTAACTTATATTTTTCTAAAATGTGGATATTTCTACCCACCTATCTTAACTGCCATGCAAAAAAAATTCATTATTGTCCAAAGGTTAGTAATAATTAGGTGATCTGTAAGAATTTACTTGACTTACTTGTAAGAATTTAAGTAGGCATAAATTAAGTAAGTTAGTAAAAACATAAGTTCATAATTTCCAAGGCAATGCACAAACTATTTTAACATGTAAGTGGTTATTGTAAGAATAATAATGATTCTAATTTAAGAGTCTTAATTTTGTAAAGTTTACATTAATTAAAATACTCAAATAATTTTAGAAGTTAATAATACACCTCAAAATTATTAATGATGTTTATTTACATGAAATGTTACAAAATTTTTGTTAAAAAAATCATGTTTTTGATGTATTAAACTTATTATCTTGTGGGATTATCAATAAGCAAGTAAAATTTTACTGTAGGACAGGTTTTATTTTTAAAATAAAACATGTCTTATAGCCACCATTTTTGTTGACATTTATTTGATGAAAATTATTCAATAAAGTTCTAATTTTTGTCTAATTTGTTGTTTTATTTCTAGTCTACTGATAAATTATATTAATTGTTCTGTAGGTAATGTAATAATTCTAAAAGGTAAAATAATAAATAGGTACTCGTATGTTTATAAAAAATAATATATTTATATTGTTATTTACTCAATTATCCAGCCATCGGATTAGCATGAACAGTAACTGATGTGATTTTTGCTTCTGTGAGTGGTCGAAATGTTTTTGGATTCACTGGCATTTTCTCTAAATCGTCCAGAGCTTCAAAACCATCTATTATCCTGGAATAAAAGTTACAATTTAATAAGAGTTGTAATTATTTATTGTCAATAAAATTAATATTGATAGATCAACATATAATTTCAATATTACCTTCCAAAAACTGTATACTTGAGATCCAAATGAGGCTGTTCACCATAGGTGAAAAAGAATTGACTACCATTCGTGTTGGGCCCATTGTTCGCCATACTCAATGTTCCCCGGGCATTGTGCTGAAAATATAAAATAATGCATTTACACAACACTTCAAGTGGGTGTGACCACACCTGTATACTTAGAAAAGAGTTATGTGTGTGTACTTTATAGAATTAATGAATAGTTAAATACTAAAAATGAATAAAATACATTGTAGTAGTGGCAGAGGGGGAGTTCTTTGACAACCTATTTTGTATGATACTAAATTAAATATCTGAACAAAAGTAAATACCTTCAACTCTTCCTTGAACTCGTCTTCAAATTTTTTCCCCCAAATTGAGGTGCCTCCTTTGCCGGTTCCTGTAGGATCTCCTGTTTGTACTATAAACCCCTAAAATTATATTAAAAAATATAAGTTACATATTCCAGCTATTGTAATGTTATAAATAACTATATTTATAAAATATTGTTACCTTAATATTTCTATGAAATAAACAACCATTGTAGTAATCACTGGCACACAATGCAAGGAAGTTTTCACATGCCTTTGGACACTGCTCACAAAATAATTCAACTTTTATGTCTCCCACATCTGTGTGCAATGTAACAGACATGTTAATTAACAAATTAGCCCAAAATTATTATTTATATCCTGAAAACAATCGTATTTTGTGCAGCAAGTGAGGTTATATTTTTGTTATGACATTTAACGTCAGTCTACCTGTCACTGTCACTACTATCAAAATTAAACTTTTAAAAGATTTAAGATTTAGGCCTTGGCAATTTTTCTATACAGTCTATGTTGTTTTGCATTGTGTGATTGTGCCTGGCCTACTGTCTGTGTGTACTTATTTTTCTAAGAACGAAGCAAATTATCCACGTGGGCCAATTTTAAAACCGCGCACTGCGGATAAAAATAATTAAAAATGAAAAAAAAATGTTTTCTTTACGAAATCGATTGTTAACAAAGAATATAAATTTACTCTGACGAGTTTGATTGTTATTGATTGAGCGACTCAATCAATAAAGGATACATAACAAAATCACCCCTGTATAGCTGGTGCTTCTTTTTATAACTTTGTCTTATCCACAGGATTATGTCTGTATGTGTCCTAGAAAAAAAAACTTCTATCACGGTGATCATAGAGAAAAGTAATACATAGGAAATGACGGTGAAACGCCAGCGCCCCTAGACAAGTTGCACTTTTTGATCGAATCGAAAATCGAATGCGTCTGATAAAACTCCATACAAAAAACCCTTTCGACCCACGACCTCGATCATTTTTCGGCTGGTTTGTGATTATAATTTATTGTGCACTATGTCTAGACCCACAGTCCAAACTGCGTTACGCTGAATTAAAACGCAATTAATATTAAATACAACTTTATTATTACACCTATAACTTATCTATAAACAGTAAAACATAAAAAGGGTCTAAGCTTTATTTAAATTTTTATTCACTACCACCGGCTCTTTCATTTTGGCCCGCGTGTGGCTCATACGTATTTTCATCCATCCCCCTATCTCCATAGTTTCCAAGTATTCTCTGTCCAGTGGGATCAAACGGTGATTTTAAGTGAAGGGAAGCCTTGTATTTTTTGCCCATAACTTCGATTTCATAATTTCCGTCAGTTAAAAAGTTCTTTGTGACTTCGTGATCTTTGTTGGTGACATATCCGATGCCTATGGGTTTATCTAGATAGTAACCGTAATCGCCTCTTCTTAGGTATCCAACTGGTTCTCCATTTCTGTATATTGCTTCTTGTCCAAATATCGCCACCTGTAATGAAAAATAAGGAATATTGAATTAAACCTAACATTATAAAATAACACAGAGCTTGTTGTGTTTCGTCCTAACAGCCGAATACTGAAACGCTATTTAAATATTTGACGGCTTCTCAAATACACTCGCGAGCAAAACTATGGAATCAGTTACATGAAGTTGTTTCCACGCGAACTTGTGTACTAACGAATTCGTTAGTAACAAAAAAAGTGGCACCATTTTAAAGATTAAACTTTTATCTTTAAATTGATACCAAATTCATTTAAATCACACCAGTATTTAAAAAGATATCCCGGCTGATGTGAAGAAGTAACGAAAAAGACATGTATGAACTGTTTGATACGTCGCGAGTTGCGGCCTATTTACCCCCTATAAAAGCACGCGTTTTTAGATTTTTGCTTTCACACGTTGATTCATACACATCTCCGCTTCTTTTGACACTTTACCTGGGATTCTACACCTTCAGAAGCAGCACAAATCGTTGCACTATTGCAAGAAAGGCTCAGCCAGCGGGCTGTCGCACGTCAGCGCCACATAAGCCAGTCCTGGGTTTCGAAAGTTTCAAGACGCTTTCGGGAGACTAGTGGCTTTATCCCGAGACCAAGTTCTGAACAGCGCCGGTGCACATCGCAGAGGGAAGACCGTTTTTTCATGTCAACCTCTCTATGAAATCGTCATTTGACTGGAATCGATGTCCATCAAGAGCTCAGAAATGTTCGTAAGATAGCTGTTAGCGAGTGGACAGTTCGTCTAAGATATAAGCAATAGAATTTGACTCCAAAAAGGCCTGCCACAGGCTTGAAACTGACGGCAGGTCACCGATAAGCACCCTTTCAATTTGCTCGTATGCTATGAAATCGCTTTACATAAACATGCCTATTTCTGAGGAATATGGGGACATCGCATAGCAGCATTTCCAAGAGTTGTTGATTTGTCAATTTGATGCTCTGCTGTCAACAATGATAAATGTCAATTGTGGTTACGTTTCGATCCACGATCGCCACTTAATAGATTTCAACAATAAAAAGTATCACCTTTAAAATTATTTTTTTAATTAAATAAAAATGCAAGCAATAATTTTTTTATATGATAAAACGACATTTATATATAATAGAAACTAAAAATAAACTGTTCTATGTTAAGTTGATTGAGTATATTTCCATAAAAGACAATACATAACCAAACGATGCTGCGTGTAATGGATAAAAAACGTAAAGTTATCATTTGTGTAAATGAAAACATACTTTTTTTGGTAAATGTTGCCATTATATAAACATTTGAGAGCTGCTTAGCTGATCACGGCTTCAAATCCGTTGAGTGGCGTTTGAGAATACCATTTAAAATTGAAGGATACTTAAATTTAGGAGCCTGTCAGCTGAGTGACAGATTTGAGTAGTGTTTCAGTATTCGGCCGTAAGTGTAACAAAATCTTACTTTATCTTCTAGTGTGAAAAATGCATATTTCTTCGTGACTCCATTTGCTCGGGCCTTGGTGACGTGTTCGTTTCCAATGTATTCGCCGTCTTTCCTGCAGGCAAATCCTAGGTTGGCTTCCACTGGGTTGTCGTCGGTTCTCAAATCAGCATTCCATAAGTGATATCCTGGAATGGGAAACGACGTGTTAACTAATGTGTCAGTGTCACGTAGTCTTTCGAACATCCTAAAATAACTCGCAGCGTGGGACACCCACCACAAGGTAAATCGCTGTTCTCATAAAGGTAGCAGGAAAGCGCTGAACGCAGGCCGCTACCAACCGGGCGATGTGGAAATCATTGGGGGAGGCCTATGTTCAGTAGTGGACGTAGGTAGTGAATGATGATGATGATTCTCAAAGATAATTTGTATCTGATGGAAAGCATCTAGGACGTACCGACCAACCCATCAAAGTAAAGGTTGTAGTTGAACAAACATATAAGTTAGATTATCAGGGATTCAGCTAGTGGTAATACAGGCCCCTGTATTTGGCAAGAGCCACTGAATATGGCTTATGCAAAGATTTATCGAATTTTACGTACCTTTTTCCCCACTAAGAGAGGTTAGCGCCCTCCACCCAGCATTTCTCAGACCCTTAGCGCGACTCAGTGCCTTGTACACTTGTATAGCATGCGACGACGGCACGTGGAGTTCCCAGCCGAGTTCGCCCGACCAGCCTACGCGCAGCGCACGACACGTATACGATTTGTTGTCGGTGTTAGGTGCTTTTGTCACGCGGATCGAGCGGTGCGTATAAGCAGGGAACGCGTCGTTAGATAGTCCAGCGTCGGTGTACCGCTGGAGGATGCGTTGGCTGCAAGTACAAATGGTTTATGATAAGATAAAATATAAATAAATAAAAACTCCATCGACAGTTTTATACAGCGCCATCTAGGCAAAACTAGAATCTTAACAAGCTTTGTATTTTGTGTAAGCTTTGAGGTCACGATCCTCATCAGTGAGGGACCGAGGAAGAAGATATAACAGTTGCCTTATTTATTTCAATATATGCCTTTTTATATTTTATCGTTACGACGAAGCCATAAATCTGTATGTTGTAATACCGTTTCAACTCAAGCCAAGAATAATTAAGACAGAAAATTATCCCTTCAACTACATTTATTACTTCTTGAAGCCAAAAAAAAGTCGCTTGAATATGTATTTACCAAAAATAACTTTATGTAGATCCAACACATACCTGTCTGGTCCTTGTACGCTGAGAATACAGAGCTGTTTGGTGACGTCAGTGATGTTGGCCCTCAGTTTGTAAGTTTGGATGATCCTGCGCAAGTGAGCAAGCGTGTGGTTCGCGTTGAAACCGCTCGTCACTACGTAGTAACCACGCCCCTAAAATACACCAAAAGTAAGATATTGGGTACAAGCAATATAATACAAATTAACAGTAGATAAAATAGACACAGGCAGACAATTATTATAATTTAAATAAGGTAATATTTTTGCTAGTACTTGAGAAAATGTCGTATTTTGCATACCTTGAAAATAGGTTCGTGTAGTTGACCACTGTGACTCTCTCCATCCAAAATACTAACGGTGACGTCGGCCTCCACTCCTCCTTTATCATTCAGCAAGAGGGAGTATACTACCCTGTAAGTATTTATCATAATTAATTTAGTCTTTATCGCCTTATTATTTAATATGTTTTACATTCAAATGGCTCGAGTCCCATCGTCCGCTGGACTATTGTGGTTAGCCCACTCCTAAGACAAGCTCAAAAGCTTAGGAGGGGTTAACATGACCCATCAACAATCCATCATGATTAAAACAAGATAAATGTCAAAGAAATTTATTAGTCTATCTCTCTCTATTCAGAAAGTGGGAAAAGAGAGATCGTAAGTTTGCTAAGAGACCTATGTCAAATAATCTAGATCTTATTCATACCTGTTTTCGTTTTTCGATAAATCCGCAGTGAATGCCAAATTCGCCGTTCGTTGGGCGTCAGGTCCAGTCAGGTAGAATTTCCCGTAGTACGACATGTTGAACAACGCAGCTGCGTTTCTGCACGCCAAAGCTTCTGCCCCAATCTGTGTTAAATTTTTAAAGTTTTAATTAAGAGACATCTAGGTTTTTGGTCACTAGGGTGGCGCCACTTTCGTGCGGGACAGTTTTCTGTGACTGTGTTAAACTGACGCATAATATTGGGCTGGACTGAAAGCTATTGTGCGGGGATACGATAGCATTATTATTCCAGAGCCAAGAAATAATAAGTAAGTATGTAGTAGGCAGTTTACGTGGCAATATAATTATTATACCAATAATATAGTCTAAAGTTTTTTTTCACTATAAGAATATAAAACGCGACTAATTAAATTTTCCTGAAGACAGTCATTACTCACGAGATCATGATGTTTGGAAAAGTCGAAAGTGTGGTCTCCCTTGAGTATTTCCTCGTAGCGCTGGTCGATGTTCCGAGGGTAGTCGTGGGTGCCGCCCCAGTCGTATTGCTGCACTCGTATCTGAAAAATATTTTAAATTGATATTACAATCGTGCAATCTTATAAGGAAAGACGGACAGAACGGATTTTGTTCTCCTATCTTTTGAACATTATTTGAATAATATTAACATAGGCTATAATTTATAAAATTAAACGGATTATAATAATAAAAAATACGTAAAGTAATGGGCCTAGTGAGAGTTGACAGTTGAAAATGAATTGAAGCTGCTAGACTGCGTATAACTTTCACATAAAACATCATAATCATAGCACAGTGGGCGTGGCATATTGTTTAAATCTGTTGATTACAAACTTGCACCATCATTACCCAAGTAAACAGATAATTAAACATAATAATAAGATAAACTCTGATAAAGTGTTTTTAGCAAAGAGTATTGACATCCAATAATAATCCCCGGTCTGTTTATAGTGATCATTTAACCTTTGAACTGTGTTGAACTAAAGAAAGTATGTAAACCAAGTATGCCTGATATCACTTTCAGAGCTATTTACGCAGTTTCAAGTTCAAATAATGATAAACAAAATTTATTCTCATCATCATCATCAACATTTTCAGCCACAGGACGTCTACTGCTAAACATAGGCCTCCCCCAATGATTTCCATATCGCGCGGTTGGTAGCGGCCTACATCCAACGCCTTCCTGCTACCTTTATGAGGTCGCCGGTCCACCTTTTGTGTGGACGACCTTTTATAAAATAGGACGAAAATTTTCGTATTTTTCTCCGCGAAAATGAACGTACTCTATTGATGGGTACCGCCCATTTTGTGCAGTGCCAGCCACGCATAACCAATAACTGACGTCGATTCTGGCAATATGTAAACACTAATGACATTGCAAGGGTTAATCACCAACCTTTTCTCCAGGAATAAAGAAGGCGGGTCTCTCCCATCCCGCCCTGGCCTGCATAACCGCTCCATCATACACCAACTCCTGATGAAGAGCGTCATGACTGGCGTCTCTTCCCGCCAGCGATTCTGATAATATGTAAACTAAGCACTAATGACATTGCAAGAATCAAACACCAACCTTTTCTCCAGGAATAAAGAAGGCAAGACTGTCCCACCCCGCCCTGGCTTGCATGACGGCTCCATCATCCACTAACTCCTGATGCAGAGCGTCATATGACTTGCGTTTCTTCCCGCCAGCGGTTTTGGTAATATCTAAGCACTAATTTAATAGCATTACAAGAGCCAATCACCAACCTTTTCTCCAGGAATAAAGAATACTGGTCTCTCCCACCCTGCATGACGGCTCCATTATCCACCAGTTCCTGATGCAATGAGTCATGACTGGCCTCTTTCCGCCAGCGGTGCTGATAATATGTAAGCCAAGCATTATTGACATTTCAAGAGTCAATCACTAACCTTTTCTCCAGGAATAAAGAAGGCAGGTCTCTCCCACCCTGCTCTAGCCTGCATAACCGCTCCATCATCCACCAGTTCCTGATGCAATGCGTCATGACTGGCATCTCTTCCCGCCAGCGGTTCATCATGAGGGAACACAATATTGTAGTTCCGCACGTAAGCTTCGTGACTGCTCTCACGCATCCAGTGGGCTCGGGACATTTGCCCGGGGGTGAAACGACGGATGTCGAATGTGAACATGTTGTAACTCGGCCTACGGACAAATTGGTTTGTTAGGAGTCTTGTGTGGTTGTAATAGAGGCTGTTTTGCAATAAAAAAATATAGTATCATGCTAGCGAATTCATCACAGGTAACATGGGTATACTGTGCTGTAAAACTTGTGTACTTGTAGTTTGTATAACATTTGATACCTACCATGTTTTGTGATAGTATTGACGTAGGTGATTAATATTCTTTTAGCGTAAAAAAATATAATTAACTTAATTGACCTGTCAAAACAAATAAATAGCGTTATCTTTATAAATAGAGCTTCAGATAATATAACAGTGCTGCATACGTCATTGCGGACAATTAGGTTCAGCAGATAACCTTTGAAGCGGCAGTTAGCGACTAATTTGACCTAGAATATTTATATTGGGTTAGTGACCCAACACCTTATACAAGGGAAGACTTTAGGTCCTATAAGACATTTATTTTCTGTAAATAAGCTTTTAAAAAGCCTTTTATACGTCCCAGTGTTACTTTATTCCTACCACTGTTGAGAAAAAGCAGCGCAAGGAACTCCATTGGACCCACTGAATTCTTTACGCTGATTCTTAAAGGTCACCATCAATCCCTAATTTTTAAGTGACCCCTATGGTATCACATAACAGGATTTTTGTTTTCATAGGGGTCACTTAAAAATTAGGAATTGATAGTGAAAACGGGCATAAGACGGGAGACTGCGACTGTTACTTGACTTAGGTCTCTGTCTACCGTATCGGTCGTGGTTTTTTGTCTCGGTCTTTTGTCTCTGTCGCAGCGCGAACCGCCGCCTTAATACGACTGAGGTGCGTCGTTGACACAATACCTAGGAGATTAAAAGTCATTCACCTTCCAGTGATTATCCACTCCGCCATTTGTATACCGCAGCCCGCAGAAAACATCATACCGGCCGAGTTATATCCACAATTGTGGTACAGACCTGAAATAGAAAAAATACAGTTGTAATTATAATTTTAATGACGATAAAAAGACTATTATTTACAAACAGTAACTGAATGGTAAAGATAGCGTGTAATCAATGTAGTATAATTAGAGATTGTCATTACACCGATATTTTGTTAATGCTGAGAATAATAATAAATAATAATACTACAATGAGATTGTTTACATCTATAAAGCAACGGATCTTCTTGCATCAGGCTTGTTTATTTATTAAGTTGCGTAGGTATAGCTTGTGTGTGTATAGTAAAAACAAGGATATTACTAGTAATGATCTGATAGGGGGAGGCCTTTGTCCAGCAGTGGACGTCATTTGGCTGAAACGAACGAACGAATCTGATGTACAAAAAAAGGTTTATTATTGGTAAATAATAAACCTTTTTTTGTACATAATTCATTTACTCTTTAGAAATAATTTGAAATAAGAGAAAGTCAATAATGTTTCATGTTATAAATGAAAGAGGAATTGAGTTAGTTTCTTATAGTTATGATTAAAGAAATATTTTTCAGCCATATTACAGAAACCTAATCTGACCGATTCTATTATTGGGCGTCGTGTCACTTCAGAGATATGAGCACAGTTTAAAATATAAACGAGAGCTATTATAAAGCTAGTATACCTTTGTGTGCTATTTGAAAATCTCACTTTGACCTGAAGGCAATCTAGGCAATTCACGCTACGCTTTAAACTAAGTTGCTGTGATCTATTTTAGATGGGTTCATTTTTCTACTGAGCAGTAGTAGATGAGACGAGGCGAAGAAAATCGGCAAGACTTGGAGCGAGATCTAACGCGAAGCTCAAGGCCGAACGCGATGGAGGATTGCTTTGAACGCCCTCTGCCCCATCTAGGAGACATAGGACCTTATGTCGAATAAGTCAAGTCATTTTTGTACTTACCAAAGACATTAGGGTCTTCCCCCAATAAAGGCTTGTGGTCAGGCGTGAACGATTCAGGCCCGCATACGGTGCTCTTGATGCCAACCGTGCCAAGTTTGGGACACAGCGTCGTGGCACTGTTCATATGGACCCCAAATACGTCCCAGTCTAGGTCGTATAAATGGAATTGGAGGTTGTCTGGTACCTTGGTAGAAGAATATAATTGTTTAATAACAGGTAATCGATAAAACAATCTTTTATCGCGCCATTTAATCGATTTTACGCGATAAGCCCATACATTTATCATCTAAAATCGTCGATAAGATTTTATAATAGCGCATATTCTAACCCGGAAGATGATCTCTTTTACTAGTTACCACAGGCATAGAGTTTAACTCAAGCCAAATTATTGGATAAATAAGTGATAAAGCAGTTTACTAGTAAATGTGGTTATAACTGGTTTAAAATCATAAATATGATAAACAATACGTGTCGATTACTATTGTTCAAATTAAGACTGATTTAAGAGAGTAAATAAAATTGTGATTATATTATCAAATTCACATTATAAATGTTAAAGTCGGATTGATGTGATCTATTTTAGATGGGTTCATTTTTCTACTGAGCAGTAGATGAGACGAGGCGAAGAAAATCGGCAAGACTTGGAGCGAGATCTAACGCGAAGCTCAAGACCGAACGCGATGGAGGATTGCTGTGAACGCCCTTTCTCTTTCACGACAAAAGTACTCACTTAATTTAGTCCATGCAAATAAAAAATCTACTAAAAAACATTGTTATTACAGATTGATATTGTGCTGTGTACTATCCTTAAATAAATAAATAAAGATATTCTTGATTTTGGTTTATTGAAGAAAGTTTTTTATGCAGGTGTTTGACCGCAATCGCACCTGATGTTAAATGAGATGCAGTCTAGGATGGACTTTACAATACCACAGCCTTAAAAATGGCTATTATTACCGAAGCTTACATCAGAAAAAGTGCATCATAATAAGTTCTTACCTGGTCCAACATAATCGGGTTGCTCTCATATCCACCGATGCTGCAAGTCTCTCCTTGCAACTTCAAGTATAAATCGACGTCGTGGTCTCTAATATTGGGGCAACCACGAATCTCTGGAATCGCCTCAGAAACAACGTATGCATGCTTGAAAGGTATTAAGGGAAGGGCAGGCACTCCAGCGAATCTCGCGACTCTGGGACCCCACGCACCTAAAAACGGTAACAAAGATTTAAAAATAATAAGGAAACACACGCTATATTAAACGGCAACGATTTAAGTCCTCGGGTATATTATATGGGCCATTTGAAACGCATTTTGTATGAAATGAAATGAACCCTATCAGGCTGCGTTTCCACCAGAGATATGCGAGGATGCGTAGCGAGGGATGTGTTTGTAAAGAACCAAATAGAATCGCTTGATTTACCGAGGCGAGGTAAATGAAGCGATTCTATCCTCGCCCATCTCTCATCATCATCATCTGGTGGAAACGCAGCCTTACAGGGCCGGATCGTGAATTTGTGGGGCCCTGGGCTGAAACTTCTTATGACGTTGTCACGTAAAAATATCGTCCGTAAACCGACTTTACAGACAACTATTTTTTTTTTTTTTTTTTCAAATTATGGCCTACTTTTTAGCGGGATCTGGCGGCCCCTTGTAACCCCGGGGCCCTGGACTGCAGCCCAATCAGCCCATAGGTAGATCCGGCCCTGCAGCCTTATCATTTGTTTTAATAAAAAATCAGCTAATCAGACTTGAGTCGTTGACATGAGCATTATTATTATTATATCGGACTTACAAACCTCCACAATTGACCACGCATTTAGTCCTAATAAATCCTCTATCAGTGTGAACACCAGTCACTTCCTTATTCCCGAGGATGTTGTGAGTGTAATGGATGTCCAATACTGGACAATCTTCGTAGACCTGTAGATTTCAATGAAACATGATTATTATGACTTATAGCCTAGGCGCAGACCATTGATTTTTCGTCAGCCGATAGTTTAATCAGGCAGTTGATCAGTATGGGCATGTATGGAAGTGCGCACATTACACCGATTCGAATTGGCCGATTCTTCATACAATTTGAAATCGGGCACAACTATCGGCCAACTAAAAATCGGTGGTCTGCGCCTAGTCATAATATGATATGTTTTTGCAACATTTTTCTTTACTGCTCCGCCCCTATTGGCTGTAGAGCTATTTTATAAAGCCTAATAAAGCCTTCCTCGATAAATGGGCTATCTTACAAAAATATTTTCCAAATAGGACCAGAGGTTCCTGAGATATTACAATTTTCATTATCACGTGACATATGGGCGTGTCCAAACATCTTCGTTTCTTATAGGTCGTTATCTTATAACCAGTGCCTTTTTACAACTTCAATGTCGTCCCGATTATATTTCAATAACATAAGAGTAGGTATACTCACTTTGCCGCCATTTTTCGTCGCTACTTTGACTAGCGCATTACACGCCATAGCGGGGTCGATGGTGCCATCCTCGGTAGCGTACAGGGCCATTTGGAAAACCGATGGATCTAGGAGCGGGAATATCTTCTGAGCTTCTTCAGGGCTCAGGATTTGACTCGGGATTCCCATGGCTTTGCCCAACGTGTGCAGGCGCATGTATTCTTGAGTTCGAACCTGGTATAGAGATGAGAAGAGTATAAGTACATACAGTCAATAAAGGCGCATATAACTATAATATACTGTCTGTGTAGTGGGAATAGGTGCGATTTTGCAATAAAAATATAGTGAGTACATTCATTAAAACGAAATAGGTTACACAGCAGTGCAGCAACTAAAGACAATAATAAGACAACTGCGAATATCCATTTGAAGTCGGTCACAATAGATTAAAAAAAATTTTTTTAAAGCTTTTTTATTACTCTTCTGTTGATACAGAAGTAATAAAACAGAATATAATTTTGCACTAAAACTGTACAATTTTATTAATTACCTTGCTCCGTGATATAAACATGCCTCCATTGTTTATCCATCCAGCATAGTCTTCGCATTCATTAGCCAAATTGCTGTAGATATTCCTCGAGTCTTTAAGCAGTCTCACTTCTAAGTCGCATGGTCTTAAAGACCACACCAGACCTATAAAAGTATTATTTTAACCATAAAACAATAATATACGACGTAGCACTATTGTTTTATCATTACTCCTTCAAGAGTAAAATATTATGAAGAACTAATAATTTATTCTTCTTTTGTTTTTCGTTTGTGTGTTCAAAGATATTGATTGATTGATATGTTTGTGAGAGGTACCCAGAGTAGATTAATATTTTTAACAAATAGAAAGCTGCATAAAATTCGAATATCGTTAGGTATATTTAACCCGAGGCCTTTTTCAGTTTCCCAGTAAATTTCACTTCCATTGAGGTATTTCAGTGGTAAAAACTTTCAGTGAAAAATACTATCAAGTATTAGGGCTCTTTGTAAACTACAAAACATCGTAACAACGAGTGAATGCCATGCTTTAGAACATACAAACATTGTTTGGGGAAGCCCTTAAATTGGCGTCAATCTATCAATTGACCACTTTACGTCTATTGAACTTACTTGCCCCGATAACATAGACGAACAGAGAGTTTGCATCAATAATGACATTGTATTCTCGTACATTTAAACACGTATAATAAATATATCTAATATAAAAATTTATAGATTAAAAATTAATTTATATTTTCTAAGGGAAGTGACAGTACAACTCACTCAGTTGTGTATGAAAAAACATGCAAAGGAAAAGATATGAACTCACCAGCAGTATGCCATGTAGTCCCACTTGTAAGCTTGGCCCTTTCTAAGAGAACTGCGTTGACGCCTCTTTTTGAAAGTTGATACAACGTATTACATCCTGCTATACCACCGCCTACGGGAAAAAGTGAATAAAACATACATTAATAAGGTACCAAATGCTTTGAACAATTTTTATAGAATTAAAATCTTAAATACTTTTCAAAATAATAAAACAAAACTTACCAATAATCACGACATCAGCCGAAGACACCACATCAGTTTTCGTGGAAAACCGTTTGTTTGTATTGCTCAAAAAACTTACTGCTTTTCTCCTCACACTCACATCCTTGATAACTTTATGCATGTTTTATTTATTTATTTGTCTATATCCCTAATTATTTTATTTTATTATACAGGCTTAACTAAGAAATGGATGAACCTACTCCGCCCGCGGTTGCCGGCCGAATGTTACTGGATCGGGTTCTTTACTAAACATTACTGATAGATACTTTATAATAGCCACTAGTGCGATTGAAATAAGAACACGAATTGTTGTCACCCATAATTGTTTAGACAGGGCCGAACCCAGGTTTGGTCAATTATATTCAGGTTTAAAGAGAACGATTCTTATTACCGTACGTGTAAGATAAAAGTATTTTAATATGTAACTTACTTAATTTGAAGAATTTCGTTTTCTGTTCCATTCAAACGTTCAGATGGCAACTTATCGTGCTGATTGCAATCTTTCTGAATACAACATATGGAAGACTAGTTTTACAGATTACTAAAACTAGCCAGCTAGAGCATTTATTAATTGAACATAAAGAACAAAAAGCGTTTATTTTCTCAGTACAATACTGTAAGAAGTGTACTATCGCAATAATACATTATTACCTAATAGACTGGCGCCTAAGAGGCTGAAACCTGTTATATTATAAGTAATTAATTCATTATTTGTTGATATGAAAATTGCAGAATTATTTAAATTACCTAATGGGTGATTGAATTGAAAGTGATTACCGGATTTCTAAGTTTCGAAAATCAACATTAATTAATCGTCAATAATGAGAAAGTATTACGCATCCAATACCGTACTTACACCTCACCATAGAAAAGCATTTAATTTGTTCATAGAAATGCAACATTTAGGCTGGTTTAAGTAGTCAATTTAATCTCACGAATGGATTCAGGTCATTCAGGGCTGTGATTGGTTGTTTTATTTTTTATTTAGACCAATCATAGAACAATATCCAGCCAGCTTAAGTTTAAATCAAGATTTGAGTAGATTGGTAAGACGGGCCTTTTCAAATCTGTCGCAGCGTTTAATGTATTATTTAGGTGTGTACATGAATTACAGATAACTTATCGATCGAGTGTAATTTCATATTATTAATAACTAATTGTAATTATTTAATGTGACATGCAATAAACTTGAATTTGAAATAAAGTTCGGACCCTTGATTATCATCTTAAAACACAGTCAAAGTTCAAAACTATCCTTATCAAATCGCACTTTGCGTTTTGTTTTGTTATTTAATAAACTTGATAATATTCATGTGAACAAATAGGATAACCAAAAATAAAGTTTAGATAAAAACGATGATATTTGCAATACTTATGCATTTATTAATAATAATTTTGATACATTATAATAAGTTATTTGTTATGTTCCGTTTCATTTATTTACAATAATTCAGTACTCTTATGATAATGAAAACAGAGTCAAAAATGTAACATAAAAGTGACAATCTTTTGATTTGGCATGAAAAATATTATAACACAGAGGAATGTACATATAATAAGAAAATCCAAACTTGAACTTATCAATACAAAAACTTTTTACTAAAATAAGAACTAATTGTAAATTTGTAACAAACGGCAAAGTAAATAAAATCAGTATTTATACTGATAGACACGCAAATAATCTCATTTTAGAAAATTTAAATTATAATAAAATTTTAACACTAATTTAAATTGTAATTACACGAATTTTAAAGATATGTTAAATACAATTAAACAAACAGTTCTGAGTTCTGCAAAAATACTTATTATTTTCGAAAATCGAAACCATAAGTATTATATTTTTGTATAATGGCGGAGCGCTTTGGTAATGTATGTATTGTAATATTGTAATGCGCCGTCTGCTCGTTTGCCTCCTATCACATAAAAAAAAAAAAATGATTATTTTATATTGGTAAGGCGACGTTAGCTGGTAGGATTCACGAGTGCCGTGCGTTTGGCAACATTGAAATTGGGGCCAAATTGTTTAACTACATCAACGCAGGATTTCATGGATTAAACAGCAGAAATGACAAACTGTTGCGACGCTAATTTACATCTTATGATCGTATCTGATTGGCTACGTTTTGTCGCCATAGCTCCTCCCACGCTAACTCAGAATAACGGCTTTTTAACCAGGCAAGTATAACAAACAATAAAATTAATTTGATGTATAAGTACATTTTGTAGAAGCTACAAACGCCTATACAGTACTCTTTAACAATAATAATGTTAAAGGCAATATCCGTGTCTAATATCTATTTCCCAGGTACCTATTGTTGTCTATCTTATAACATCAAAAATAATATTTCGGTATGTCTAAAATTTTAAGTCTAAACTCTACTAAATAAATGCAACGTTATTTTAAAAGTTATCATTTCCGTTCGGCTCATTTTCGAAAAAAATTAAAGCACCCGCGAAATTTACTATTGAATAATAATGTAAGGCAATATTCTCAAATGTTTGATCAATACTTATTACAACTACCAACATCGATACACAAACCAAAATGGATAACGATTTATACAATAATTCTTAATATTTAAAACGTAACATACTTGGCATTCGTCAGGCGCAGCGTGAAGTTTACTAAGTATGCACTAAATACTTGAAACTTGATTTTGTGTCACCGTACCTGCAAATAAACATAATTATCATTAACAAAAGTATATTTTTTCACTTTACGTATGTAGATTCACGAGATTTCACACTTTATACATGGTTTCTCACATTTTTATAAACCCTAAAGCTTGACTCTTTTTACGCATCAAAATATTTGATAGAAAGTGATCATGCTAAGTAAGTGGCCTCAAAAGCAAGAGTTCTTTTTTTAAACACGAGAGTTTGAAAATAATAAGGCCAGTAATGTAAGTTTAAAATTAAAATTCGAATTTCTTGTTTAGGCCTCTCCCACACTAGCATCTTTTGAACGTCACTTCTCAGCGCCTGCGCAGCGTCAACGCGTCCGGATTGCGTTACTTGTGTGTCTGAAAAAAAAAACGTTCAGCGCTGCACTGGCAAGATGACTGAGACTCAAAAGACGCTAGTGTGGTGGGTCCTTTAATAATACCTAATAGTGACGTGTTAGCTCTTCTTACTTGTCTCAAACATGGTGCGGACTAGCCACCCGCGGCGGAGTCAGACCGAGCCGGTGCTGCCTTGCGGCGTGGTCGCCCGCTGCCGCTGCCGCCGCCGCCTCTATTTGGGCCCGAAGAGCCACTAACTCTCTGGTCCGTTGGTAGATAGGGTCCTAGTTACAAAGATGTTATGTCATAAATGATTGAAACTAGAGTGGTTTCGACTGGAATTGCGGAACGTGTAAAATAATAGTAGTAGTTGCCATGCAATAGGAGGTAACGAACGAACGTACATAATACATCGTGATAAGACTCGTTTTGACCTCAACTTTCTGTAACAACTTTCTGTGCCTCTAGGTCGAATAGAGATATCAACTGGTTGTACCACTAATAAACATCATGAACATAATTAAAACCCTTCTTGATGATGGCTCTGTATTCCCTCAAACGCCTACTTAAAAGGACCGAAAGGATCTCCGGGCCATTTCTGCTTCATAGAGAGACTCAATAATGCAGACAATAATTCCAACTGGCAATGCAATAACAAGTAAAAAAGAAAAATTCTAAACTGCAAAAAAGTATTCAATTTCCTAACAGACCTCTTAATTAAATATTATGTAAAAAAAATATCTTACCTGCTGTCTCATAGTAGGGTTCCACCTGCAATACAGCGCCTTCCACAGCTTGATGACCCTCAACGAAGCAACCGGTACCAACACCACTTGCGGCCTGGAATACGGCGATGGAGGCGAGGTCCCGAAGGAAGAAGGCCCCCAGTATAGCGGATTCAGGTATAAATCCTGACGGCTGTTGATGTAGGACCAGAGAGATACTGTCTTCGTTTTTACTTCTGTAACAATTGGTTATGTGTTAGAAAGGACTCAAATATCTGTTGTTACCGGGATGAGCACCATCTTCACTGCTGGAGTTATGTTAGCAGTCATCATCATCATCATCTCAGCCATAGGGCGTCCACCGGTAGCGGCCTGCGTCCAGCGCTTTTTTGCTACCTTTATGATGTCGTCGGTCCACCTTCTTGTGGGTGGACGTCCCTCGCTGCGTTTTCTGGTACGCGGCCTCCACACCGGTACGGCTAGCACGAAAAACTTTCGAGTATTCGAATCGCCATCAAAAGATTTAGTACGAAAACTACAACAGCGCCCTTGTGAACGTGTCGTAAAGTGAACTTAGGATCAGAAATGGTGGCACAAAACTTATTTTGAGAGTCAAAATTGTCACGTTATCGTTTAATTCGAAGGTTGAATATCGAATTTTGTCGAATACGCAAACGATTCGAAGACGAAAGTTGTTCATGCTAGAGAAACAGTTAGCAGTCAGTCAAGTTGTTAATCCTGGCTACACAGGAGTGGCAGTGGCTGGGAATTGTCTCGTTTATCTATTGCTAAAATATGTTGAAAGGGTCCAAATTGACAAGAGTAAGAGGGAAGAGAGTAAATCTATCATTGACATTTAAAGTTGGATTTGGATTCTTTCAACATTTAATTCAATGCATAAATTGTAATGAATTGATTCCTCTTTTCAAACCTATAAAATGCGGCAAGAATACAGACGATCTACAATAATTAATCATGAGAAGTTTAATGAATTCAAATACAATCAGGAACCGTTGTTGAAGTTGGCATACTTTGTAAACTTGCAAGAAATATTTTAAAGTCACTGACCTTCCTTAAACCTCTCGCGTTCAGTGTTGAACAGGAACGTCCCGAAGCGGCAAGAATACAGATGGTCCACTATTGTTATGAGCAGGCGCTCAGTGAATTCGAACGCAGTTGGGAACTGTTGTTGCAGTTGCCATACACAGTCTACCCACTGCACGAATACTGGCGAACGATCCGCGTCCGAGTGACGCTCGTCTCCGTGGCCGATACGCTGTTGATAAAACGAATATATTTGAATTTGTAATCAAGATGCATGATGACCATAATGACTTGAGAGAGGTCCCACGTATAAACTATTTCCTTGAAATCAAATGCTGTATCTATAGCAGGGGTGGCCAACTTTATTAAATTATTTTCCAACGAAATCAACTTACCCACTTTTAAAATTGCGCAATTCTCTTCTACGTTACTATCTAAGCGCAAAGTGCCGGGCAAGAACTATGCCTGTCCCTGATTGGTTGCGCATTTATCTATGTTTTACTACAACTAATTGGATGGCGATCAACTGGACTAACAGCCGCGGTATCGATCGATTGGCTACCCCTGATCTATAACGTGTACATCTGTTTAAATTATAACTATGTACACCGGAAAATTAAGCCAAATGCTTGTTGAAATATCTGTCACGTTTGCGTTACTAAATAAATCTACTAACCGCCCTCTGCAAACAAGAGGCTATTGAGTGGTGGAAGTCCACATCGGGACAAAAACACTCAAAAGCACTCATTCAGGGATATAGCAACAAAGTAACTAAGGAACTGCTAAAGTTCAAAGATACAAAGCCTGTGCAGTGACTAGAATACTAACCGGCCACTGCAAACTAAACAAACACAAATCAAACATGAACATGACCGAGGAAACTCTGTGCAGATTCTGCCATACAGAAGAAGAAACGGCCATGCATGTTCTTTGCTCATGCGGCCCGCTTATGAGCAAAAGAAGTATCCATCTCGGGCGACACATCATGCACCCGGATGAGATAGCAGATATCACGCTCCAAAGAATCTGGAAATTTATAGATTCAACGGGACTAAGCAGTGAACTCTAAAGACAAGGGCTGCCACAATAGATCAAACCTGGTCGAGCTGGCGCAAATGAAGGCCCAAAACCAATACTAGTAATTTACATTTAGCTTCAATAGAAACTGACGACTCTTACACTCCACTAGATTTAAAAAACAGACAAATAGTATTTAAAAGCAAAGAACAACATGAAACTGAAAAATTTGAGACATGGCGTAGGAAGGAACTACACGGTAGGCACCTACATGACTTAGAACAGATCCATATTGATACAACGGCTTCCAATAAATTTCTTAAATTAGGGTCGCTTTTTCCAGAAACTGAAGGCTTTATAATCGCTATCCAAGATCAAGTTATTAACACCAGAAACTATAAAAAATTCATTTTAAAAGATTCTCATCTCTCAACTGACAAATGCCGAAAATGTAATAGACAATCCGAAACTATTCAACACATCACTAGCGCGTGCCCAAGTCTCACCCAAACAGACTACACTCACCGCCACAACCAAATATGCAACATNCTATGAAAAATCGAGCACCAGTAATTTACACTTAGCTTCAATAGAAACTGACGACTATTACACTCCACTAGACTTAAAAAACAGAGACATAGTATTTAAAACCAAAGAACAACACGAAACTGAAAAATTTGAGACATGGCGTAGGAAGGAACTTCACGGTAGGCACCTACATGACTTAGAACAGGCCCATATTGATACATCGGCTTCCAACAAATTTCTAAAATTAGGGTCGCTTTTCCCAGAAACTGAAGGCTTTATAATCGCAATCCAAGATCAAGTTATTAACACCAGAAACTATAAAAAATTCATTTTAAAAGATTCTCATCTCCCAACTGACAAATGTCGAAAGTGTAATAGACAGTCCGAAACTATTCAACACATCACTAGTGCATGTCCAAGTCTCACCCAAACAGACTACACTCACCGACACAACCAAATCTGCAACATAATTCACCAAAAATTGGCTCATAAACACAAACTTTTATCCGGGAAGACGTTGCCGTACTACCAGTACAAACCACAACCAGTACTGGAGAGCAGCAGCCACAAGATGTACTTTGATCGAGCAATACTCACTGACAGGACCGTACATAACAATAGACCCGATATAACTCTTATAGATAAACTAAATAAAACAGTACACATTATAGATATAGCAGTGCCAAACACTCATAACTTGCATAAAACTATAACCGAAAAAATCCATAAATATACAGAACTGAAAGATGAAATACTAAAAATTTGGAATATCGACAAGGTATACATTGTGCCACTGGTGCTCTCCAGCACTGGGATCATACCCAGACACCTACTTAGTGCCCTCCGCAACCTAGACATTCAGGAAAATATTTACATGACAATGCAGAAAGCCGCTATTCTTAACACGTGCCGCATAGTTCGGAAGTTCTTGCAGGACGACAACACCCAAAACTCCAATCCAGCAAACGCAGCTCACTTGGCCTAGGCCCGTGAGTCAGCCGTCAACNTAATACTAAATAAATTAACAAAATCTTCTTACCAACTGGAATTTATGTCCAAACGAGAGCCACTCCTTCTCGATGAGCACTTCGAAGCCTCTCAACGTGCGGTAGAAGGGATCCAGCATGAGCATAGCCAGCGCTGTCAGCTGAGCAGTACGGTCCCACCCGTCGGAACAGTGGACGAGGACGGATGTTTTGTGGTTTTCCACCTGAAAAGATAAGTGGATTTTACACAAAGTTAAAAGCGAGAGGTTAGTGACTAACTGACTCACTCATCATGAAATCTCAGAAACTACAAGTGCTAGGAGTCTCAAATTTTGCATGGGGGTTCCTTTTAGAAAGTAGGTACTCACTAAGACGGGATTTTGCAAAATTCAACCCCTAAGAGAGGTAAAACGGGATCCACGCGTACGAAGTCGCGGGCGGCTAAAGTCCGATCGCTGAGCAGATAGAATTTCGTCCAATGACCCCAAGCTCGCACACTGACTGCGGCCGCCCGTCGCACAGTCGCGACAGCAATACGTAACTATATGATGGGTAGCTTGGGGTCATTGGACGAAATTCTATCTTCTCGGCGACCGGACTTAGTAAAATAATATTAGAAAATATTAGTATGTAAAAACTAATAATGATGATTTGGCATTGCGGCAATTAACCCGTCGTCGAACGATTCTCCAACACACGGGTATGTTCAGAGAAAAATATTAGGCAGTTAGAAATGGGTCTAATCTATTTAGGTAGACGACATATCCAGTGACCACTGAAGTGGTGATTGACAGGCGAATAGCGCTACGAACACGGCTATTCTATTACCGGTTATTCATAGGCAAATTTTATTTCACGGCTAGTATACATATACAAAATACAAACCTTGTCTACAATACGAACAGCGCCAGCTAGTATGCATTTGATATGTTTCAACCAGCAACTAGCCTCTATTCCGCTGAACCATCTGAAAAATAAACAATCTAATCAATCGTCCGTGACACAACAACGACGACAAATCTCCTCATAATATTTAATATACAATTTTAATATTTTATTGCGCGTAGCTACTTTCTAACGGCATAGTTCTTATTGGAAATAATACACTTAATAAAACGATTATCTATAAATACCTAGTTTGATCGATCTGTGGAAAACAAAGCTCTTTCAGTTTTCGCAGACTTTCCCTCATTACGTGTATGTTGTGAATATCAAGGAAGACAAGTTCAGCATTTTGATAGGCATCTTCCGATTCATATCTGTAAAAACCGAAGTACAATTTATTATTTGCAAAACATGCATTTAGAAAAGACAGACGTAAAAATATTAAGACGCTAAATAAGTTGCATTTACTTTATTTTACTAAAGAGTAGGGATCACCACATTTAGTCCAGAAGACGACAGGGTTCATAGTCGAAGTACCTACCCTCAAATCGATAGTTCGATACTGACACTGATGGGCTATTGGCGCCTCATTTATCAATCGTGTGTATTACTTATTTGCAGTTATATCTACAATAGAATACTCGACTTTAAAATTAATATTGGATGGTCTTACCCGCCTCCTTTCGCCTTGTTAGCGATGGCGTTTGCACTGGGCCGGGCGTCCATTATGAACAGCTTGTGAGCCTGCGCGTTGGCGTCCATAATCAGCTGGATGTAACGCTCGTCCTCACGGCTGCGTTTACCGCTAACCTATAGAATGACGTCAGTATAAAGGACAAATCAAATCATTTATTTGCATTACATGTACATTATTGTACATAGACAATAGACTGGAGAGGAAAGAGGACAAGGTGTGGTTCAGTCAGGATTTCAGACCGAAAACAAACTTACAACAACATACTTGATTTCAACGTATTAAACTATCTCAAACCTAAGTATTTTGCTTTGAATATGATCATAGAAATAATGGTAGATTTCTAAAATGTGACCCATATTCTCTAATCACTCATTGTATAACAGGACTTTATTTGAGTGTCCTTATTAACACCGCAAATTACTTATATTAAAAACTATACCATACTCTATGCCAGACATGATATACATAATGTATTTACAAACGTGATTATCCAATTAGACATCGATATCGTAACGATTATGCATGTGTTATTTTAGTCGATGGAGGAAGCCTGAAGGTAAATTTTGCGGTTGTTAAAATGATAGTGCTAATTCAATTTACACTGTGAGAACAGACTCAATTTCTAGTTCCTTGATTTAAGACTTGAATTGATTACTCGTAAACATCAATTTTGTTCAATTGGTGCGAAATTGGTGTGACACATCATGTTTGTGACAAGTTAATCTTTTTGTTTACAAGACTCATACATATTTATTTCCAACTAGCTGACCCCGCGAACTTCGTACCGCCTTAGCGTAGAGATTTTCTTTATATTTTTTTCCGTAAAAACCTTGTACAGAGTATTGGAAAACTACAAAAAAAAATCAGCCAAATCGGTCAAGCCGTTTTCATGTTATGTCGTGACAACGGAAAACGGGTTTCATTTTTATATACATATATAGATATAGATGGCAGTCCACTATGACCCGGTCGAGTTAACTGCGTACCTGGTAACCGTGACGTCACGTCGACGGGGCGATAGCGGGGAGGTGTGCGGGTAAGTAAGTAGAAGGGAGAGTCGCATTCCTTCGAGGTAAGCAGTTAACTCTATCGGGCTGTACTGACATAAGCCTTCACCAAGAAATACCGCTAAATACGATGTGCCGCTTTTTTGATTCAGCCATTGCCAGCTATAGGTCTAGTGCTTATAGTTCCAAAATACTGAACTGTCCTATGCATGACATTGACAGTGGGGCGCCACCGTCAATACCGGATCGCTGGTTCCGATTTTTGCCATGTTGGAAACCATATACACTCGTCGTCAAATAAATCGCACCTCGCGCGACAAGCATTTTCAAACGTATGCATCCCCACTTCCCACCAATATTGGCACTATTTAAAAGCCTAGTTCTAAACTTGATTTCACTATGGGAAAGGTTTTTACCATAAAAATGTGTCTCTAGAAGGATCCAGAGTCACTTCTTCAAAAAATAGGTAGTTACGCTTGAGCCAACTTTTATGGCTATAAAACTGTTAAGTTGAGATTAATCGCTATCCATCTGTTAAAGAGGACACGTGAGATCATTATTTGGTTTTATAACCATAAAAAATGGTCTAATTGATCCCAGAGGTGAGCCCAAAGTAAGGTATTTTTTCGAGTCACATTTATGGTATATGTTAATCATTTATTAATTAATAAATTGAATGTGTTTTTCTTTAAGAATATTTATTGGGCTTTCAAATAACACCAATAGTGTTGGGGCACCATGATTATGTCAGAAGAAAATCTTTAGAGTTCGCCTCGCAGAAGGTGCGATTTATTTGATGTTGAGTATAGTTGAACGATGGTAGCGCCCCCCTGTCATTGAGTTTGGTGGGACAGTTCAGCGTGGGTCATCTATAACTGGGAGTGACACAGGAGGGGTGACATTGACATAATATGACGTGACAGAGCATACAAATCTGACGCACATCTGAAGTCTCGATGACGTTTTACATCTCAATAACACCCTCCCGTGCTGCTCCCATGCCTCAGGCACTGAGTTATGCGCCTTCTTAGAGTAGGCGCACACCGTTGATTTTTCGTCGGCCGATAGTTTAGTCGGGCAATCGATCAGTATGGGCATGTATGGGAGTGCGCACACTACGCCGATTCGATTTGGCCGATTCTTCATACAAATTAAAATCGGGCACAACTATCGGCCAACTTAAAATCAACGGTGTGCGCCTACTCTTAGTCACAAAAAGATGTCAAAAAAAATATTGTTACTTTTAACTCTCATGCAGAATGAGGCAGTGTCCAATCAAGTACCTCCTCAGGATATCCTGTATGATGTTTAAAACTAAAAAAAAATCTTTCTCACCCCAACAAGTGGCTGGCTGCACCTAGATATGGTCGCCTGTGAGCTCGGGTGTATCCACGCCAGGACCGGTATCCGTCCTCGCGACCTGAACGCAGCGACCGACCGGAGGAGGTCGTCGTTAGCCGCCGCCGGCACCGCCCACACTGCTGGGTAACTGTCGCACACTTCGTACTTGTCGTTGATGCGAGTTATGCGCCACATGTCGTTGTTTACACCCTAAGATAAAATAAACAACTTTTTTTTACTTGAAAATTGCTTCAAGTATGAAATATGTGAACACAAATTGATCACACTGTCACAAAAGTTACACATTATGAAACTTGTTTCTTACTAAACAATATAAGGATAATGGTTATGGTTACTGTTGAGATACTGGCTATTGCCTTATAACTAGTTTTACAATGGTGCAAGTTACAGAGTCAAATATTCTAGGTAGGTACTATCTGACACATTCCCTTTGAGCAAGAGATTAAAAATTAGTTAGGTACTAATTTTAGGCAGTATTTAGTAAAAAAAAAAAGCTAAAAATATCTGTACACAAATAAGTGAGGATATTTTTAGCTCTTTAAACTATTATACAATTCCCACAAACTTAACAAATGGGTAGGTTTTTGATACTGAAATGAAAGTATTAAACAAAACTTTTACCATTCTCCTGAGCTCTGCAATTGGCTCATATACATGCCAGCCATCTTCTGGGAAGTGCTCAGAGTAACTGAACGCAAACAATGGAAGTCGGTGAGACAGTGGGAACGCAAGTTGCTGTAGTTTTTCGAAAATGCCACGCCTGGAATGGTTTTCTTGTTTGTGTGCAAAACGAAGATTTCTCATATCCTGTAAAACAATACAAAAGCATTATTATTTAGGTAAATTTAATTTGACACCTTATAAACTCATATTTACTGACCATAGACTTAATAAACTTATATTTACTGACCTTACAAAATACTTCGATACCATATGAATTTTCTCCTTTAGATGAAGCACCTCCTACTTTTTCAATGCGGGATACCTACAATAAAAAATAGCCTGGAATTAATATTGATAAGAGGGAAGAACTTTATATTATTAATTAGAACAGGAAAACAATTTATTTATCTACCGACTGAATAAATATTTCTACTTACAACGCCCAGTGGAACACTAAGTGTGCACTGCAGGGCTGCCGCATCTAACGGTCTGAAGTGGAGTTGGTAATTGGTGACTTTCAGGACTCCTCGGATTGGTCCACTGAAGGGGCACAAGTATGTGACATCACGTGCCACACTCATCACCTTTTCATTGTCAAGCAACTGTATATCACCCAATACATGCGGCTGAAATAAATTATTGTCCAGTTACACACATGTACAAAACTAAAAATGATATAATACTATACCAAACACATGAGTAACTAAAAAGGTATCTAAGATTAAAGTCACTGATAACATTATTTTTCAATAGGATTTATAGTAACACATTTAAAACCTGCCTTGAACAGCTCAGAGTGCTGTCTACTACTGTGCATACGGTTAACAAACAAGCAAACATGAACAGTTTTAGTTTTACTCATAGTGGAACAATATTATTTGTAGAGACAAGTACTCTATTCATATACCAATGCTTGACTAATCGACTAAAACTAAGTTAAGCCTACAGGAAATGACATGGTTACCATTACAGCACTCTGTAAGAATAAATTTAATCCTTTTAGGAAACTTACGGAGTCCTGTCCGTGTTTAGAATTCAATGAACTTGATTTCGAATCGGAATCCAACGAATCAGAACTGGCATTTTTAGAGAGCGAAAAATCTGATGATAATATTTCTGAACTATTGTGTTTGTCCATTGTGATAATAGGTACGCAAAAAATAAATGATTATTCTAATAAAATATCCAATTTTCATAAAAATAATTAAATTCCCCAGCCAAAGCCAGATGAGTATACTTTGACAGATTAAAGTATTTTTGACATTAATGACAATCTCTACAGATTACGTATGAAATCATAGACACGTTATTTGAGTTTTCAGGAGCTCCAAGCCGCAAGACAAGATTTTCCCTACAAATGTAAAAAATATGCCCAAAAGCCCAACAAGATATCCAAAAATGTGCTAAAACTAAATAAAATAATAAAACAAACTTACAACTAAAAAACAGTAATAACAAAACTCATTATTTAATTTTAAAAACTATAGGCCTATTAATGTTGCAAGAACCATAGAATAGTTTACCCATGAAACCCGTTTTGCATGTTTTGTTTTAATGGGAAAATCAATGGTTGCTAAAGATAACAAAACAATTGTATCTTAGCAACAACATTAATACGGAAAATAATTTTGTTATTGATTACTGTTAGTACTACTGTAGGTACCACCCCCTAATACCTGGTAGTACATTATCTTAAGTTAACATTTTGTCTTTTTTGCATCATGAAATTAATAGATAGCATTAGTTATAATACATACTTAGCTTATAAACAATCTGAAAGCATTGAACCTAATCGTAAAATAAAATCTGAAAGCTTAGAATGGGATTATCGTCACCCGAAATCTCTTGCATCTTTAAGTATTGAAACTATAAGTGAGAATTGGTCAGGTAATATTCTGCCTTAATTATTATAATACTTTGATTAAAAATGTCGTTCTTTAAGTTTGTATAATACCTTTTTTTTTCAGGATATCCTAAATTGTATCAATTTGTGGCAAAGGATCGCGAGTATTTTTTAAGAATTCTTAATACTGACGTACCTCTTCAAATTTTGGTAGATAACATAAAAAGCGATATATTTTGGAAACGATGTTATACTTCAAGATGGACTGATTCTCCTACAATATCGAATGGTCGAAGGTGGATAAACGTTTATCTTGAGCGACATTATGCTGATATCTTAGAAAATATGAATCCACGCCATTATGATCCTGAAAAGGTACCAAACTACCGTTATTAAGCAATATTTATTGATTTACATAGTTACTTTATGCAAATTAATAGTTTTTCTGAGCTTTATAGCTTGGTGCAATCATATTTTTATCAGATTTATAAATTTCGTTTGTTCGTTTCGTTAATTCATTCGTTTCAGCCGAAAGATGTCCACTGCTGGACAAAGGCCTCCCCCAAAGATTTCCACAAAGACCATTTCTGCACCGCTCGCATCCAGGTACCTCCCGCGACCTTCACCAGATCGTCGGTCCACCTAGTGGGAGACCTGCCCACGCTACGTCTTCCGAATGTCTTATGAATCTTACCAACAGGTTAACACGTTGGTGAAACTATGTGGGCCGTATATTCAATCACTATCAATTCGAAGTCTGGTACCTTCAGATATCCCCATGCAAAGAACTACATCACCAGAAATGGCCGATCTTATAACAAGTCTACGGTCGAATGGTAACAAAACCGATATCAAACGAAATGGTGATAACATCCTATCACGGGGTAAGATTCTTATATTGTATTTTTTTAACGATGCACGTTTTTTAATTATTGAATGTTATCACTGAGACTGACTTAAACTTGCAGGCGATTTTCAGTATCTCATGTTAATTCAACCATACGATCCAAGATTTATTTTATCTATTGGTTCTTCTGAGTCGCCCTATCCTACCAGTGCATATAAGACAATGTAAGTTTTTGATATGCATAATAGAATTACCTGTATAATGTTTTGTTTGACTTTTTAGATCACATTTCCCTACACGCTGCCTTAGGCAGCTTAACTAACTTAGTTGAGTTGCATATTACATACCAACTACGTAACATCAGTGTAGATTATCGCAAGGATCAGTTTCAATTTACAAACAATGATGCAAAAAATTTATCCCACGGTCTGGAGAAATGCTCTCAGCTGAAAATACTCAGGTAAAAAGGAAATTTAGTAAATTGATTTTGGTTACCAACGGACCTATGTTTGGGCACAGATCAAAAACTGACTTTATCATCACATCAACCATTATTTATTTGAATTCACCTTTTTCAGAATTACTAGAAGCGATATGAATTGCCAAAGAGTAAAATATATTCTTCGTGGATTAACTGATCATGAGCATTTAGAAACTCTTGATTTTAGTCATTGCAAAATTTCGAACGATGGTGCAGCCTCTGTTGCAAAATTTGTATCCCGGCATGAAAACCTGCGCAATCTTCTCTTAGTGGACAATATATTTGGTAACTTAGTAATTGGTTTATTTTTATCTATTTACTTACATTCAATTAATTGGATTTGCTGTCTTATGAAATATCAATACTGTTTCAGGTCCTACAGGAGCTGAAAGTATATCACACGCATTGAATCATGCCGGTTGTGGGATTCGAAATTTGGATTTGAGATTAAATAATAAACTTGGTTCTGAAGGGATAGCTCACATTGCTGTTTCTCTTGCAAGAGGGTGTAATTTAACGTCGTAAATACTTTTTTTATAATGTTATTTTATATATTAATCAATTAAGCGTAATAAAAATATGTATTAAATGACCGTTAATTAAATCTTGCTACTATTTCAAAGGTTGAACATATCTGGTTGCGGCATTACCCCAGGACCACTAACAAAAGCTCCAACTGGTGTTTGGTCTGCTACCAGTGCTGAAAATCCGCCAACTTGTGGTGAGCTACTGGCAAGAGCAATTGGTCTGGTGAAAACACCTTTGAGGTCATTGGACATTAGTGTTAATGATATTGGATCTGTATGTATTCTTTATTACAAAGTATATTTCGAAATGATAATTATTATTTTAACATAATTAAGTTTAATTTTTATTTCTGAATAAATTCTAAGAACAATTGAACTAAAAATTAACGACGTTTAATTTTAGCCGAGTGATTATACATTGTCAAATGCAATATGCTTGAGCTATATTATTGACATAAATTTGAAAAGATCTGGAATGAGTTCAGTTGCTATGGCAATAGCAGAAGCGGCAGCCTCTAGTCAAAGGCTCAGAAGAGAAGCCGAAAAAGGGATTAGATTTAGAAGAAGTGCTGGAAGAGTCGTCCAAGCTCGAAGAGTAGCAAAATGCATGAATATTGGTAATTTGCGGGTTTTTTTCAATTCAATTTGATGTAACAAAACTAACGAAGTAATAGGACATCTGCAATACTTGGAATTGGATTTTACTTTCCATGAATTACAGCCAATAATTCACTTTCAATAAATGAACAGGCACTAAAAATAATATACAGCAACTATTTCAATCAAAGTTGTTTTTAAAGTTTGTATGATGGATGACCATTTAAATTCCTTCTCAGCTTTTGCAGAAATATTTGAACAAGTGATTTACACCACGCCTTAACGTCTGAGCCATAGATAAGATCAAAGATATAATTATTTATCTTTTACTTAATAATAATGATGTTTTCCAACTTTGCATTATTAATTTTAGATGCTGATCCGATACTTCTGGCGCAGCAACTTTCAGCCCGTCCATCAATTGTTTCTGTAGCATCAGAAGAAGGCGTGCATAGCATACTAATGCAACCATTGCCATCCGATTTTGGTTTCGTACCAGCATTAAAAGTAAGATGTCATTGATAATAACAAAAGCATGAAGTAACAACTTAGTACCAGCAAAAATTTTATGTTCAATCATTATACATTTCAGAGCCCTTTACCTTCTTCACGCGCATCATCTATCACTGGTCCACCGACATCAAGAAGGTCAAGTCACCATGCTATTTTAGAACCAGTAAAGGTAGGAAAAAATCCCCGTGATTAACTAGTAAAATAAGACATGTTATCATTGACTGATATTTTAAATTAATTTTATACTTTTTGTTTTTATAGGAAGTACGTCGAACTGCTCTTGTCAGGCGTGGATCTGATGGTTCTCTACTGAAGTCACGAAATAATATGTATGAGAGACATATCAAAATATTCGTATCAAACGAATTTGATGATGATGATTGATGATTATTCTTTTTAATATATTTCACAAATGTATTCATACAAGTAAATATAGCTTTTCCCCATTTTTATGGACTTTTTTTTTATATGGCAACATTAACCATAAACAAGAAATCTTTTTCTTTTTCCGACCAATCCATGCCAGATTGCCAGTCGGCGATGTGCAGCCAGCCTGTCTTTTGAATGTCACGTCAGTCAGTTTAGTCAGCCATGTTTATTTCTTTGGAATGTGTTTGGAAATGGTGGTAGTGATAAAAAATTGAAGCTGTGGAATTATTTTAATAATTTTATTCGTAATAACTGTGTAGTGAAGCTTAAATGTGTTTTTTTGTGTAAGTGAGGTGATCTTGTAACTACATGAAAATGAGTTGGGGCACAGAGCTTTGGGTAAGTTCTTCTTTTTATTGCAATCTTCTGTACGTTACGAAATTGGATACCTACAGGTTTCTCATTAAAGTGTCGGTAATTTAAAATTTTCATACTCTTTAGTTGAACTAATGTTATTATCGTAGAAATTCGAATAAGTCTGAACGTTAAGCATTGCATCTCATAGACCTGCACCTAAAAATTTTGCAAGTTTGTTTTATTCCTTTGAAAAAGTAAGTTTATCCGTGGCCTTTCTTGACGCATTATCAAAATAATCTTACTTTACCAATACCAGACCGTAGGGTACTATGAAATATTTACTAAACTGTACAAAATATAATGCTACACTAAAAATCTCATTGCTACCATTATTTTTGGTCTTTTTGTATGTTAAATGTAAGTACCTACATGTCTAAACCAAATGTATGTTTACCAGAAGATTTATTAAATGAATCAGAATTTATGAATACAATTACCCATGGGCATTGTATTTTTGTGAGTTTTATGTTAGAACTTGTTATGAAGTTAAAGTAGTTCTGAAATCTTACATCTGTAAATTGGCAGTAAAATTGTTAGGAATTGATGAAATCTTTATTACCCACATCTTAAGTGTATGAAATGGTACAAGGTACGACATTTATGCCTCGCTGTAACTGTTGCAAAATTACATGTCACTGGTTAAAGGTTAAATAAGTT